GGTTTCTGTGTTGCTGATTAGGGGGTTCGAGAGGGGGGGGGGTCAATCGAGGGCAATGTGAGGGGATTTTTAGATGTGATTTTCACTACCGCCATACAGGGGAAGGGGGTAGTTTAGAACGCATCAAATCCGGGGGAAGAAGAGGTCATGTGTTGATGTGATTTTGGGGATAAAGTTTAAGAGATTATATGATGTGATGTTCAGAATTATTTATTGTACATGTAAGTTTCAAAGGGCATGCTTGAATTAGTACGGATGTTGGTGAATGGATTATATTATTTTTCAGAGGGAATGCACCGCCCGCTCCTCCCGCTTTTGTCCCAGCACCGCCTGCTCCTCTCCGGCACATCCAGTCCGCCATGCCGCTCTCATACGTGTATGAGGCCATCCCCGAGCTACTGCAGCCGGTGGGATCTGTCTCACCGGAGGTCCTAGAGGCAACGAGGGCACTCCGATGGAAGGAGAGGGCAACACGGATCCACGACGACGCCCGAGCTTGGTCGCAGAGCGTTGGGGAGTGTAAGAGAGTTCAGGCGGAGATGGAGGCAGATGCAACTATCTCCCGTGTCCGACGGGAAGGGTGCATTGAAATTGCCAAGAAGCACGCCGATTGGGAGCTGCGCAATTGGGGTCAAAGAATCCACTTTGAGAGCTCAGCGGAGGAGCGAGCTAGGATGTCGCCCCCAACTGCACCGGTATTGGAGATCATCAACTGGGCAAGGGAGGAGGCAAGAAGGCCACGGGACAAGGCGAGGTGGGAGTGCTTGGCTGGTCGGATGCCGACCAGTGCTCCGCCGCAGCCTGAACCGGTGGATCCGCCGTCGTTTCTGTCTCCACGGCCAGGGCTAAGCTACGACGAGCTCTGAAGATGTCTGAAGTTCTCCGAAGTTGTCTGACCGTTCTATGTAGTTGATGAAGATCTTGCAACTAATTTGTCTGTCAAAGCACGTTACAGTGTTGTTGTGCTTCAGGCTGTTTTCTCTTGTAATGTCAATGAATATGTGTTTGCTTGTGCTTGTGCCTTTCTATTATGTTGTCAATGAATATGAATCTGTGTGCTGTCAAATTCAATTTTTCATAAGTTAGTCAGTCAAATTCAGTTAAATTCATGCTAATTGTTGCTGTCAAAATGAGTAGGCACTTTCATGTCAAATAAGAGAAACATTACAACACCGAACAATGCAAACTTTTTGAAGAACAATAGGTAGGCAATGATTTCAGTAAACAATATGGAATGTTTACAACAATGAACAGTAGGTAGTCACTGATTTCATATAATCGTTACAACTTGCAAATGGATAGGAAATGATAACAAATAGTTTGACCCCCTAAGATAATGCCAAATGCTACATTACCTAACTTATACAAAACCTCTTATCATCAGAGCTACAATACCATACAGAACTGCAGAGCAGCGGACCAAACAGGCTAGCCAAATTTCCCTACTATCCCTAATCTTCATCTCCTTCTTATGCTTCATCTTCATGGCCTTCCTCTCTTCCTTCGACCTCATAATTTCAACATCCTTGTCAAAGACAGATTTTTGCAGAGCCAAATTCTCTTCAGCAAGTTTGCCAATCACCTGCCTAGGCTTCCCCTCCACTCTTTGTCCACCCACTTCAGATAAGCACATGTGTCATAACCCTGAAAACATAAAACCCAGCATTTTGGGCAGTATCTGACGTGGCTGCCAAATGTCGCATCCAGACCGTTTTAGGCCAAAACTGAATCAGCATACGAAGGGGGGGGGGTGCACTTTTGTGGGGTTTTTTAGTTTTTGTATGAATCTCTTCCCACCCCTACAAGTTTATGTATCAATTATGGTATTAACTCTTTTAGTTTCAAGACTTGGATCTATTCCTACGCATAGGAATATGGTCAAATCTGGCTGTGCGTACATGACACCAAAACGGTCAAAAGTGCGATAAATATTTCACGCATGCAACACGAGAATATCAAGGATGCTCAGATAGCAGTTGTGAGAATATCAAGTACAAAAGATACTTCGATAAATTACACATATAGGAGCTGGCGACATTGCTTAGATAGTCTAATAAATAAGGTAATAGGAGCGCTTCTTCGTCCTTGCGCTGGGTGAAGGTGGAGATGGCATCAGTGCGCCAGAGTTGATAGGATGTGAGCTGACTTCAAACAAAAGGTGTGCTGATTCTACATCTCGGAAGTCAGGAACCTGGTTCACATAAATTGCAGATATAAGCCACAAAATTTGCTGGGGATCGAACCATTATCATGACATGAACATATTGGAAGGCGGTAGATCAGATAAAAGCTAACTGATAAGCAAAAATGAAATTTAAGCTTATGTAAATTTGCTGGGGAAGGAAAAAGTCCCCCGCGTCGTCCCCAGGGCGAACTCGGCGGAACCCTAGGTACGCCGCCGCCGCTCCCCTCTACAGCACGCCCCCCCTCCCGCCGCCGCCGGATGAGTCCGCCGGGCGAAGCCCGCGCCGGAGGATGGTGGCGACGGGGATCCCCGCGCGCTCGGCGGCCTAGGTTGCCGGCGTGAGCCCGTGGTGGCGGGAGTCTCGTCCTCGGCATCTCCAGCCGGCGTGGCGGCTGCCCGGCGCGGCGTCCTCGTCCTCTCGCAGGTGATGGGCTGCCGGCTGCTCGTGGCTGCCTCGACGCGATGGCGTCCCGAGGTTTCAGATCTGGCCGTGGCGGGCTCGACCAATCTGGCCCGTTAGCTTCGGCCTGCGGTGAGGTTGGTGGTCATGCGTGGTGATGGCGCCGCCGCCGCGCAAGAGGTGCTTGAGCTAGTGGGTTCGCATGCTGGCGGCGCTGGGGTTCCCCCATCCTCGTCCGGCAGCGTGAGGGTGTGGAGGTAGGGTTGCTCCGGGCGAAAGCCGACGGCGCGGTGTCTGCGGATGTCGCTCTCCTCCTGGGGGCGTTGTGGAGTTCTCCGACCTCCTCCGCTCTCGGGTCACTTTCTTCGGGTGAAAGCCCAGGACCTGTGGTGCAGGATCAGACGATGGCGTGATACGTCGCTTCCCCTCCTGAGGGCGTCGTCTTGAAGATCGTGATTCCCTGCATGCTTTCCAAGAGCTGGACTTGCACGACATCGCGGCAGGTGGCCGGCGATGCGCCCAGAGGTGGAGCGGTGTTCCCTCCTCCGCATCAAAGACGATGGATCTCGGCGGCGTGGCGCAGCGGAGACTCGGCGCCGGATGCGTGTACTCGCGCAGGAGGAGGTGGTTGTCTGGCATCATGGTGGCGTCGATGGCAGAGTGGCCTGACAAGGTAGAAGCCTCAATATCTGCTCTGAAGACGGACGTGTGAAAATGGCGGCGACGACACATGTGAGTGCGTCAGACCGGTTTGTGCCCCAGACCCGGTATGTGGCTCGGCTGGGGCTTCCGGCTTTTGATGATAGGTTTAGGTGAGTGGTCTGGGTATTTGGCCCAGCTAGCATCCCTTCATCATATGGATAGGACTAGTGGCATATGTTGCCAAGATGTCGGATTTAGGCATATTGTTGTAATACTTTGTAAGGTCCTCGAGAATAATCAATAAAGTGACCGCATGTATCTCCCATATGCAGAGGCCGGGGGTCATCCTCCTTTTCTAAAAAAAATGTAGATGGTGCAACAAAACTAAAACATGCATGAGTGTTCAATTTTTCCAATAAAAGATTTTCTGAAATACTGAGACTTCTTTACAAAAAATTAATGCCGAGTACTATGAGAATAGTATTTGTGTCAATTGGGCTGTTTGTTAAACTGAAAAAACCATGTACCAGAAGAATGAACATTAAGGCATGTCTATGTACAAGTAGATTGCTACAGAACATTAAGCCATGTACAAGTAAAGCAAAATACTGCTGACAGCATCTAATGATTCCAACTTCCAAGCTATCAAAAGTTCCAAATATATTAGGTACTTCCATGAAAAAAACTATTTAAGCGCTAATGAGACGATGACCTTATACTTATTTCCAGCTCTCTCCTTTTTTAGACAGAGTCGAGCTAATCGATATTGGCTGCCGATCACTTGGCAAAATAAGTAGAAATGTTTTTTTTTCATTGTAGTTGTTAAGAGGCATACCAAATAGCAATATTTGATTAATTAAAAAAAATCAGGGTGCATGCATCATATAGATTTTTCATATTACATCTTTCTTGCCCACAATTCTAATGAGAAATTTAGAAATGCAAACACAAGTATTGTTAAAAAAATAGCCAGAGGTAACAATCATGTTGCAACCATAAAACATGATGGGTTGTATAACTCAACGATTGGCAGATTTCATGCACATGAATCCAAAATGTGCAAGGTCACGAATGAAGTACGTATTTGTTTCTAAGTACAGCACCCATAAGACTCATAACACCCAATATTTATTTATAATTAACACATAAGATAAAATGTCCAATTCCAAACATTAAAAAGAGCATATCAGATTTACAAAATTCCAATTTATGTAACAGACTTTACCCTTAGTTCACTTAAAAATTAATCACCGCTCTTTTCAAAATTATATAGTAACACCATTAAAAAAATGATACAGCAATCAACCCAGCATTTTGGAATTCTAGAGATAGCCTGTAAGCTAATTAAGTGGCTAACATGAAACAATAAATAAGTAACTAAAACGAAAAAAAGATGCCATCAAACTCCATCGCCATAATTGGTCCCATAATAGTGAATGCTTTGAAATGCAAGATATGATATACCGGGATAGGGATGAAATCATGTGTACAGTACTACACTGTAGCCATAAACTATGAGCCAGGTAGAGGAAGAAAGTACAGGTATGCAATTAGGCCTTCTACCACTAGCATATATCTCAAACCTAGAGGAATTTAACAGAAATTGTGACTGCAAATTCTAAAACAGTACTTCGGAATGATTGCTCCACATTCATGCACATATGTGCTACCAAGTAGCAACGCATGCACATGAACATGCAACAAACAATTCAAGGCACCACATAGGAAATGATCCGAGGAATTAAGCAACATCGAAGAAGGAGGTTTTACCAATCACCAGAAAGTCAGTTCTCTGGAGCGAGGAAGGCAGGCGGCCACGCGAGGAAGTAGGCGCACATCGGGTGCCCATACTCCTTGCCATGTTTGGTGTGCAAGCGCTCGATCTTGGCGGTGTCCAGATGTAAGGAGTAGCGCCCATACCCCATCGTTCTGATGAACAGCTTGCCGGTACCCCGCGTCCATGTCGCTGAGCCAAACACTGAAGATCCTGAGGCACTTGTCCTTGGGCAGGCCCGGCACCGAGTCGTACACCTTGGTAAGATTCATCTCCCTCTCCAGATACCACCCATCGTCGCTACACCTGGTCTCCCCACGCACCCACACCCGCAGCAGCTGGTCCTCCACGGTTGCGATGCACATCCACCCGTCGTCCGGCGTCTCCCCGATGCGGAACTTGCCGAACCTGGGCATCTCCTTCGGCGCCAGCAGGTAAGAGAAGTGCAGTGTGGAAGGGTCCAGCGAGAGCACGCGGCCGGAGTTGCAGATGTGCCAGTAGAGCTTCCCGGCGGCGTGCACGCAGCGCGACTCGAACCACCAGGGGTCGAAACTGACCTCCACGTCCGTGGTCCGCGGGAGCGCGCGCCAGCGGCACTGGTCGTCGTCGACGGACGCGACCCAGGCGCGGGGGTGCCCGCCGTCGATGGAGATGCAGACGACCTCGAAGCAGAGCTTGCTCGGGTGCGCGCGGGAGAGAAGCCCGGAGCCGACGTAGTGCCTGCAGCTGCGCCAGCGGTGGTCGTCGGGCACCGTGTCGCGCGGTGGCGGCGGGAGGAGCACGCGGCGGCGGGTGGCCGGGTCGATGACGAGGAGGCGCGGGAGGATCCCCTTGGGGAGCGACGCGAGCGGTTCGAGAAGCAGGAGGCCTTGGTGGCAGTCGTGGAGCACGAAGCGGGAGGCCTCCGGAGCGAAGTCGAGGGAGAGGTTCGGGGCGGAGGCGTCGAGGGGAGCGAAGACGGCGGGGGCTTCGATGACGATCTCCTTGGATGCCGAGTGCAGGGGCGGCGGCAAACCGGTGGCGGTGGGGTGGTAGAAGTGGCCGAGGAGAGGGGCGGTGCGGGGGAGGCAGCGTGCGGCGACGCGGCGCCAGCGATGGCAGGCGAGGGCGGCACGGAGAAGGTCGGCGAGGGAGAGGCGACGGAGAATGTTGCGGAGGCTATCCACTGGAAGGACATCGACCGCCTTCTCCGGCGGCGGCGGAGGGAGGGTGGTGGACGGTCCGGCCATCGCCATGGTTTGTGCCTAGTGAGAGACCAGGCGTCTTTGTGGCTTGGCTTATAGTGAAAGGACGGAGGCAGGTACGTTTGGTTTGGACCAGGCTTTGCAGAGTCGCGTTTACCATACAGCTCACCTTTTCCTTTTGAATTTCTCAAAAAAAAAGAAACCTTTTCTTTTTGAACTTACCACATCAGTCAGACAGTCACCATGGGTGAACTCTTTTGGAAACATGAAATTCGAAATGGTCTCCTGGATGCTGCGCGCGCGTGGGTTCTCGGAGAAATGGATCTCATGGATTGGCACCCTGCTTACCTCTGCTAGCTCGCGAGTCATGGTCAATGGGTGCGCCTGTACCAAGTTCATGCATGCCAAGGGACTTCGGCAGGGAGACCCGGCCTCCCCCCTGCTCTTCATCATTGCCATGGACGTCCTTACTTCACTAGTCATCAAGGCACACGAGCACGGGCTCCTCAGCCCCATCACCGGTTGCAGTCCGATGCAGAGGCTATCCCTATACGCGGATGACGTGGTGCTCTACATTAGGCCCACCAGTTCGGACTTGTATCTGGTAAAAAAACTTGCTTGGCATATTTGGAGTCGCGTCGGGCCTGAGAGTGAATTATGCCAAGTCGGCTGCGATCTTGATTAGATCTGAGGAGGGGGACGTGGAGCTGGTCAGGAACGCCCTACCGTGGAAGATCGACTCCTTCCCATGTAAATACCTAGGGTTGCAACTGAGCATCAAGCAGCTCAAGAGGAACGAGTGGCAGCCAATGGTGGATGCTGCACTCCGCATCATGCCAGGATGGCAACGAGGCCTTGTCACCAGGCCGGGGCGACTAATCCTGGTAAACCAAATTATGCGTGCACGCCCGACGCACCATCTGATGGTGGCCGAGGCGCCCAAGTGGGCTCTGGAGCAAGTGGACAAGGGATGCCGCGCTTTTTTCTGGGCTGGCACCGATGCGGTCTGTGGTGGCAAATGTGTTGTCTCCTGGAAGAGGGTATGTAGGCCCAAGCTGCTCGGAGGATTGGGGATCATTGATCTACATAAACATGGTATCGCGCTTCGACTAAGGTGGGAATGGCTAAGGAGGACCGATCCGTACAGACCATGGCAGGGCCTAAACCTCAAAGCGGATAAGCAGGTGATGAAGGCTTTTGGGAGTCTAGTCCAATGGCATGTTGGTAATGGTAGACGCGCCCTATTCTGGAAGGACAGGTGGCTTAGTGGAAGTACGGCAGGCGAGATCGCGCCCTTGGTGGTGGCCAAAGTCAGGACGCAGGTGATTAACAAACGCCTGGTCAGAGACGCGCTCTACATGCATGCTTGGACAAATGACATCACGGGTGATCTTGACACAGACGCCCTTTCACAGTTCATCCGGCTTTGGGAGTTCCTGATGGAGATGCAGCTTGATCCTGAGGTGGATGACACTCCGGTCTGGGCCTGGAGCGAATCAGGCAGCTACTCAGCCTCCTCGGCATACAGAATGCTCTGCATGGGAGGGATACGCTTCCACTCCTACACGGCGATCTGGAAATGCTGGGCGCCACTTTCCTGTCGTATATTCATGTGGCTCGCGGTACAATATCGGCTTTGGACCTCATACAGGAGAGCTAGGCATGGGCTGCAAGACCATACATCCCCATGCTACCTCTGCGACCAGGAGGAGGATACGGTGGATCACATCTTACTACAGTGTGTGTACGCTAGGCACGTATGGCATCTTTGCTTCGCCAGGATCGGCGTGGACCAAACCCTGTGTCCTACGACGCAGTCTCAGATCGCAAGCTGGTGGGCACGGGCAAGGAAGCGGATAGCCAAGAGGAGCAGGAAAGGCTTCGACACGACGGTCATGTTAATATGCTGGTCCTTGTGGAAGCAGATAAACGCTAGGGTTTTTGGTAGGAGTAGCGCGCTAGATGTATATGGTGTAACTGAGGCTATCTTCCAGGATCTTCATAACTAGAAGACGGCCGGAGCTACCGGAGTGGAGTACGTAGATCAGTAGCATATCGCGTCTAGGGAGTGGAGTGGAGGCAAAGTCATGGTCGACTTGTGACCGCATGACTAGCTACTAAACCTTTCTTGTACATATTTTTCTCCTCTTCTATAAAGCTATGGTACGCCTTTGGCGTGCCCTCGAAAAAAGAAATTCGAAATGGTCTACTGTCGAAAAAAAAAGAAATTTGAAATGGTATGCCTAATTTCTTTGAAGGACTGTGCTAACTTCCTAACATACTGAATTTAAGTAACATATCCGAACACATCCTAGTATAATTGATCACGTGCATGCAGCCCCACTCCGCTAAGCAAAAAACGAGAGCAAAAGCATGCAGCGTCTTACCATATGCATGCAAACTAATATAAAATGTGATGATGTCAGCAAAAGATTCTCTTTTATTCCAAAACTACAAAATGTTTTGTAGTTCAAACCGTTGTTCCGATTGAAAAACCGTTTTCACATAAAAGATTCGTCACGACGAGACCTTCGAAACTAGATCCCATGTTGGTATGTTTCGACGATTTTTTTTCGTGTCATAAGTTATCAGACCTAGCCTAAGTAAGTTATCACGTCTATGGTATGTGAGTTACCATCCAGTTTACATAGAAATTACCAAAGCATAAAAATGGCTCCTCCAACATTTTCTCCACATGTAAATGCACTGGAGCACGGGAAAGTTTATATCATTGTAGATTATCACTATTTCGGAACTAGAAAATGTTTTATAGCTCAAATATGTCTTTCTGATTGAAAAATCGTTTTCACATAAAAAGTCTGTTGCCGCGAGAACTTCAAAACTAGATCTCATGTTGGCATGCGTTGATCACTTTTTGATCGAATGTTATCGTAAGTAATCAGTTATGTTATATGTATATTAACATATTATTTATGTAGAAGTGACTGGGTGTGTGTTTTCAACGAATTTTTCCCCCGGGTCAAAGTTACCATGGTATTTGTACCTAAGTTATCAGGTCCGTGATGCAAATATTATAGTGTTATTTGCATAGAAGTAACCGGGGTATGTTTCAACAATTATTTATTCAGGTATAAAGTTATCGTGGTGTTTGTACCTAAGTTATCAGGTCTGCGGTGCTTATATTACCATGATACTTATATAGGAACTATCGGGGTGTGTATTTGTAACGCCCCAGATATAATTTCCATATTTGTATCCAACTCTTGCCGTCTCCGGCGCTAAGTTATATTTATTTCTCGGGTTCGGGTCTTTGTCTCCGTGTGTTGTTTTTCTTTTTCGTGCATCTCTTATCATGTCATCTCATGCATTGCATTTGCATACATGTTCATCTCATGCATTCGAGCATTTTCCCCGTTGTCCGTTTTGCATTCCGGCACTTCGTTCTCCTCCGGTGGTCATTTCTAGTCTTCTTTCGTGTGTGGGGTTCAAACATTTCCAGATTGGACCGAGACTTGTCATGCGGCCTTGGTTTACTACCGGTAGACCGCCTGTCCAGTTTCGTATCATTTGGACTTCGTTTGATACTCCAACGGTTAACCGAGGGACCGAAAAGGCCTCGTGTGTGTTGCAGCCCAACACCCCCCAAAAATTGTCCCCAAACCCACCAAACTCTGCTCCATGTCCTAGAGCGTTCGATCACAATCGCGTGGGCGAAAACTGCACCTTATTTGGACTCTCCTAGCTCCACTTATGCATATTTAAACACCCCCCATTTCGGATCTCGTCTTCCTCCCCGTCCTCCTCAAAAAAAAATAGATCTCCTTCCTCCGCCGCCGACGGACGTGTCCGGCCCGCGCCGGACAGCGTCCGCTCCACCCAGCCGCCCGCCTCAGCCAACACCGCCGCGCCACGTGTCCCGGGCGGGCGCCCACATCGCCACAGTCGCGCCGGCCCGCCCGAGCCCGCGGGGAGCCCGCCTCCTCGTCCGACCGGGCCACTCCCCTCCGCCGCGCCCCGCTTCTTCTCCCTCGTCGCCGGGCCACCGCCACCTGCGTCGCCGGCGCCCCACCGCCGCCGCGCTCCGGCCGCCGCCCCCCGACCGGTCGCCGCCTCCTCGCCGCGTCTCCGGCCAGATCCGGCCGCGGGAGTGCCGGATCCGGCGACCCCGACCTCCCCGGCCTCTTCCCCGAGCTCCGGCGAGCTCCTGGGCCTCTCCGGCGCAACTCCGGCGAGCAGCTACAGTGTTTCCGGCGAACTCCGCAAACCGCGCCAGATCTGGATCTGGGTCGTTTCGGTTGACTTCTCTCCCCCTAACTCTAGTTTTTCGTGCTATGTTTAACTGCTTGTATCTCCGCAACCGTAGCTCCGTTTTGGGCATATGATATATTAAAATCTTCGCCTCAACATGTACATCATTTCATTCCATTGCATCATTTGCATTTGAGGTCATCTTGATGCCCAAAATGCTGTTAGAAGGAGGCTTCATGAGTTAAATTGCAGATCCGTTAGTTCATCATGCACTTTTGTCATTTTTGCCATGTTTAATTCGTGCATGATATGCCTGTGCCCCTTTGGGATGAATTGTTAAGCGTTTTGTCTTCTTTCCAGAGGTGCCACCCATGCATTTTTAGGATGTGTGTGTTGTCTTGTGCAAGCTTGCGAAGAGAGGTACCTGAGATTGCTGATTTCAGAGACTTAGTGATTTTCACTAAGTCTGGGATATTTTAGTTCATATATGTCCAGCTTGTTTCCTAGTGATCCGTGCCTCTTTTGAGGATGATCGATAAGGGAGTTTTGATATTTATGTTATTCTCTATCCATCCATGTCTTTGTTACACATGTGGAGTGCTCTAGGTTGACTCAATCGAGCTCAACTTTTGCTTCGTTGTTAATCTAGGCAGATCGTCAACTTGTTTGCGATTTTGCCGATGCTACCGTTAGTGTTCCATGCATGCTATGCCTTTGTTCTTGCCATGTGTAGCTAGCACATTGTGCCTTCTTGCTGGTTATATGCTTTCCTTGCCATGACTTGCACCGTAGTGAGTGCATCGAGCTCGTTTACATGCCTTCGTGAGTTAAATTTCTGCATG